AACCCAAAAAACTCATTAATATCAAAGCTGAATGTTTTTGGAAGTAGTTTTTAGTTTGTTTTTAGTTTTAGCTATTTTAGGGGGATATCTGTGTGTGCAGGTGACTATTACTGTGCATAATTATTAGGCAACTTAACAAAAAACAAATATATACCCATTTCAATTATTTATTTTTACCAGTGAAACCAATATAACATCTCCACATTCACAAATAGACATTTCTGACATTCAAAAACAAAACAAAAACAAATCAGCGACCAATATAGCCACCTTTCTTTGCAAGGACACTCAAAAGCCTGCCATCCATGGATTCTGTCAGTGTTTTGATCTGTTCACCATCAACATTGCGTGCAGCAGCAACCACAGCCTCCCAGACACTGTTCAGAGAGGTGTACTGTTTTCCCTCCTTGTAAATCTCACATTTGATGATGGACCACAGGTTCTCAATGGGGTTCAGATCAGGTGAACAAGGAGGCCATGTCATTAGTTTTTCTTCTTTTATACCCTTTCTTGCCAGCCACGCTGTGGAGTACTTGGACGCGTGTGATGGAGCATTGTCCTGCATGAAAATCATGTTTTTCTTGAAGGATGCAGACTTCTTCCTGTACCACTGCTTGAAGAAGGTGTCTTCCAGAAACTGGCAGTAGGACTGGGAGTTGAGCTTGACTCCATCCTCAACCCGAAAAGGCCCCACAAGCTCATCTTTGATGATACCAGCCCAAACCAGTACTCCACCTCCACCTTGCTGGCGTCTGAGTCGGACTGGAGCTCTCTGCCCTTTACCAATCCAGCCACGGGCCCATCCATCTGGCCCATCAAGACTCACTCTCATTTCATCAGTCCATAAAACCTTAGAAAAACCAGTCTTGAGATATTTCTTGGCCCAGTCTTGACGTTTCAGCTTGTGTGTCTTGTTCAGTGGTGGTCGTCTTTCAGCCTTTCTTACCTTGGCCATGTCTCTGAGTATTGCACACCTTGTGCTTTTGGGCACTCCAGTGATGCTGCAGCTCTGAAATATGGCCAAACTGGTGGCAAGTGGCATCTTGGCAGCTGCACGCTTGACTTTTCTCAGTTCATGGGCAGTTATTTTGCGCCTTGGTTTTTCCACACGCTTCTTGCGACCCTGTTGACTATTTTGAATGAAACGCTTGATTGTTCGATGATCACGCTTCAGAAGCTTTGCAATTTTGAGACTGCTGAATCCCTCTGCAAGATATCTCACTATTTTTGACTTTTCTGAGCCTGTCAAGTCCTTCTTTTGACCCATTTTGCCAAAGGAAAGGACGTTGCCTAATAATTATGCACACCTGATATAGGGTGTTGATGTCATTAGACCACACCCCTTCTCATTACAGAGATGCACATCACCTAATATGCTTAATTGGTAGTAGGCTTTCAAGCCTATACAGCTTGGAGTAAGACAACATGCATGAAGAGGATGATGTGGACAAAATACTCATTTGCCTAATAATTCTGCACTCCCTGTATTCACATAAAATATGTGCATCTTAGACAGGAAGACCTTCTCAGAAGTCTACAAGTAGAACAATGTTCCTCAACAATAAATTCCAAAATATAAGCAGGATTCAGAGAATCTGGACAAAACAAAAAAATCTGTGCTAATGTCACTGATGTTCAGACCCTCGGGTGGCACTGCATTAAAAACAGGGGCGATTCTGTCATGGAAATCAGTGCATGTGATTTGGGCTTAGGAACACTTCTAGCCACTGTGTCATCCACAAATGCAAGTTAAAGCTCTATGATACAAAGAAGAAGCCATATGTGAACATCAGCCATCAGTCCTCATTCATTTAATATAGACTGAGGCAATATGGAAAACTGTTCTGTGGTTGGATTAGTTTAAATTTTAAATTCCTTTTGGAAAAAATGGCCTTTTCCTCCTCTGGACTAATACGGAGAGGGACCATCCAGCTGGTTTTCAACACCCACTTAAAGCACCTGCATCTGTGATGGTACGGGGGTGCATTAGTTCCTGTGGCATTGCCAGCTTACACATCTGGAAAGATACCATCAATACTGAAAGCTATATACAGGTTTTAGGTGAACATATATATGCTCCTATTGATATGACGTCTTTAATCTGGGAAGTCATTGCATATTTCAGCATGACAACGCCAAACTGCATACTGTGTCTATTCCAACAGCATGGCTTTGTAGTAGAAGAGTCTGAGTCCTGAACTGCTGTACCTGCAGTCCAGACCTTCACCAGCTGAAAATATTTTGCACATGAAATCAAAATCTAAAAAGAAGACACGGGACTGCCAGAAGACCCAGCTAGAATCCTCCACCAGACAAGAATGGGACAACACTCCTCTTCCAAAAGTCCAGCAGCTCCCAGACATTTACAGACCAAATAAAGACGGGACGCTTCACAGTGGAAAAGATGGCCCCATCTCCCCTTTCTTAACATTTTTGAGATGTGTTGCTGCCATCAAATTCAAAATGAATGGTACGTGTTCCTAGTTTAAGCAGTAGATATGTTTTCTATGCTCTGCTGTAAATCAAATATGGGTTTATGAGATTTTCAAATCACTGCGTTCTGTTTTTAGATACATTTCATGCTGTGTCCCAGCCTTTTTGAAATTAGGTTTGTGTTAGGTTAGGTTTTAAAGCACATGTTGTAACTTTTACATTTGCTAACAAAACTGAGCCACATGATGGCAGCAGACAGTTGATATTACTGCAAATGTTCTGGGTGAATCCAAAAGGCCTGGACTCCTCTAAGATGTTTAATACGAAGCACACAAGCACAAATTCATTGCTTATCCAAGTTTAGGCATTAATTCTGAAGAATAGACTGTTCGTATACTTTGCTGTTACTAAAATGCTCAGCCCATGTTTGGGGCTAAAAGTTGCCAAGCTGCTCTGTATCGGGCTGCGTTACGGCTGTTTGAACCGAATCACTTGACTGATGCTGTGTCACCTCGCTGAGTTCTGCAGCTGCTCACATAGCCAGGACCAGCCTGGCAGGTCTGCGGGGTGGGTGCAGTCGCCAGCTGGGATGAATCTGCTGTGTGTTCAACAAAGTAGTGCAGTGCATAAGTGCTCCTGCACCTGCACCCTGTCTGTAGCTGCACAGGAAAGCAGAGGAAATAGTGACTTACCTTGCAGTGATGGTGAAGCTGGACAAACCCATCATAGCCGTACCTCTGAAACACATAAAAAATACAGGTTTTACAAACCCAGAGTTTAAAAGCATCACATATAAATATCAGCCATATATTTGATTGCATATTTGTTGTTTCATTCTGATAGAAAATGTAGATTTTGTTATCCCATCTGTGAGGGTTTGGTCATCATCCTACAGGACTGGCCACTCCAGTGCCCTGAATACCTAAAAGATATTGCCTTTTGAGCATGCTGACACTTTTTGCATACAAATGAAGCTGCAGATGAGCTACGTGAGCAATACAGCAGAAAAGCCCCTTTTCATATCCATGCAGATCAGCTGTACTGTGTACTTGGATAATGCCACTGAGGAGCTTCTGTTTTTCCAGTTGCAAGATGGGTTTTACATCCGTGTTTGATGTGTGGATCTGTGGCCCCAAGAAGCTGTTTCAGTGAAAGGTTGCTTTAAATGAAATGTCATCATGCCAGTTTAACTGTGGACTTGATCTCAAGTTCAAATAATGTTGTGCTTAGGGCCCTTTAACCAACTCCAGCCAACGTAAATTTTTAAATATCACATTCTTTGCAAAAGATTCTTACAGACACGATTTAGCTCATGTCTTCTGTTCAGCTTTAAATGTGGGAAATGATTAGCCAGGCAGTGACAAAGACATAAGGGCAGGAACAGATAAACCAAGTCCAAGGTCTATTGATTAAAGTTTAACCATCCATAGAGGACAGATTTATGCAGTGGACTTTTAATCTCCCTGCTGACAAGCCAGCTGAAAAGTCTATATATTAAACGTTAGTAGCATTTAATAGCCCCGGTTCAAGCTCCATCTGCCAGGGAAGTGACACAAAGATGTTTTTCTCAAACCCACTGACCCACTTCACGTGAGATCTCATCTACAGACTGTGGGTTTATTTAACACTGGAGCTCCGTGACATTAAAAGTCAAATCATCTTGTCTGTGACAGTTCCTACCTGCTTCAGGTCGGGCCACTCCTTTGGTAAAATATGATTGTGAATATCAACCTTCATCCTTATGATTATTATTCACGGAAAACGTAAAGGTCTGCTGGCCGAGGTATCCTGGGAAAAACTGTGGGCACACTCACTCCCCACCCCCAGCCTGAAACCAATGACCAGTGTCTGCTGCTGGGACATTTATTGCCCAATCTTTGAAACAAACAGAAAACCAGAGCAGAGGCTGTAAACCCGCTCCTTTAACTGTCTGCCTTCGTTACACTGAGCCTGAATTCTGCACTCATGGCTTTAATTGATTATTTTGGTTTCACATCATGGCTGCAGCTTATTTCTGTGGCTAGCCTGCACAGTTTGAAATGTACTGAAACGACCTTCATTAGCCAACTTTATTTAATTGCTTGCACATATCGCTGCTCGAGGATGCCACCTGGTGGCTGATTAAGGTTGGTCAACCTGCCAGGGTTCAAGATCCAAAACTGGTTATTGTCAATATGCAAGCATATCGAATTTAGGGCAATAATCCCTCACATGATGCAAAACCCTTTAATAACATAAACATACTGGCACAAATATAAGTAGAAAACACAATGGTTAAATACAATTTACTAACGTGCATTAAGGACATCTGTGGCAGCAGGGTAATGTTAAGTTGCTCGGTAGCTTATTGAATGTGTAAAGGTCTGGGCTTTGGGCTACAGGTCTCCTGTGCGTATAAATCACAGCAAACTCAAAGAGAAAGTGTAAAAATGCTTGGCTAACTCGGGGCAGATGTCACTGCATGTACTGATTCTGAATTAAGAGCTGAATTATGGGAGGAGGAGAGAAAGAGGAAGGGGAGGAGGGGGGAAACTTGAAGGTACCGCCTTCTTGATTCACAGCAGATCTCTGCAATTTATCGCTTTGTCGCATCTAACCCTAAACTGTGTCTAAGTGGCTCAGCCAGCAGGGTTTTTGCACTGATCCTACAGTGCTCACTTCTCTCAGAGGGAGTTGCTTCGCTGCTGATGCTACGAAGATAAATCCGTTATCTCCCAGCTTGTCTTATCGCCATCTCTTCTCTCTCCCCTCTGCGTAACTGAGTCGACACCGGTGGCATATTGGACGCGCTGGATGGCTGCTGCACTTATCGAACCGGTGTGAATCTTTTTTCCATCATCCTCATCTTCCTCTGAGACTGAAAGCAAAACAACCGCAGTAAGAATGACAGACCAGGTGACCCAAGAGTCCTACCCCGTCCCAGACCCGACTGTTGTGGATCCCTGCCCGGCAACGGTGCGGAACGGCCAGTGCGCCCCGGATGGCTTCACCAACCACAATCACCAGCAAGCCAAAACCCCCACGGAGCCTGAGTCATTCACCGTGGGCCAGGAGATGAAAATCACAGACACGGTGGAGGGAGAAGGTAACTTGACACACCTATGGCAGGTTTGGGGATGCATTGTGAAAGTTATGGATGCTCATGTGCGTGTGTGTGTGTGCGTGCCCTGTGGGGATGGGATGGTTATTTTTACTCATGTGAGATATTTTTAGTCTGCTCCTTGAATAATAAATGACAACCATTCATCAGCAGGATTCATACCAGACCAAATGACCAAATTCGAAATGAAGTTTAAAGCTTTAAAATCGCTTCAGCTCTTAGACTCATTCATTCATTTATTCATTCATTCGCAGACATTGGCCTACATTGCCTCTGGAAAAAGTTGCCTTTTTAAAAAGACATGCAACTAGAGGCTGGTTGTTTATATGTTTCACAAACCCTCCAGTGTGCCTTTGCATTTTCTTAATCACTTTAAAAACTCTTCAGAGAAAAACAAAAAATAAACTTATTGCCTGTATTGTAATTGAGACTCTATTAAATATAAAGAATGTTTATTGGATCTGCTGACATGCTGATTAAATACTGTTTCTCCCAGTAGTCTTGCAATGTGATCAAGCATGTCTGCAATAATAATGAACTGCTGAAATGTTTTAATGTTCTGATGGATTATTTCTAAGAGCTGAAATCCATGTCTGGGATCACACTGAATGATGAGACAAGACTGATACTCCAGCTTGGAATAGCTTTTAGGATACACGTCAGGTGGCAGAAGAACAAACTGGAACTACAGACACCTTTAACATTGTGTGTATTAAAAATATTATTTGTCGTCAGTTAAATTCACCTTTTTTTTTGTAGAAAACTGACCAAAAAACCTGAACAATCTTCCCAATGTCTTTGCCTCTAGTTTTTATGTTTATGGAAAGTTTAAGGTTATGGTTAGAAGACTCTTGTTTTTAGTCATTGTTAAACAGAACAGTGGCTTCCTGCTTGGAATGGAAAAAGAACAGCAGTCTTCTGTGTCTAGTGTCATTGTTGTCAACCTTAACCTCCATCCTGTGCAGACTCGATGGCTGTGCAACCACATCATTAAACTGCTGTCCCTTTGATTATAACTGCAGCCATTAGAGGGCGCTGTTGCAATGAACCCAAACAGCAGGTCTTAGATTCTTGCAAAAACGGACCATAAATTTGTGGGGATATGTTTACAATGCCGTGGTACCGCTCATGATAACAAACAAGGCGATATAAATGAAAGTAATTACTTTAGCAATATTAAAAATCTGTAAGGAGAGAAAAAAGAGGACACTTCATATAAAAAAACAAAGAAACGAGTGAAACAGATGCATGGTGGTTTAAGCACTGCTGCTGTACATCATGCACACACACTCATTCAGTATTTTTCACTTTCACAGCCTCTCGTTCACCCCCCCCTCCCCCAGTCTTTTTGTCTTCACACTTCTGATTTGCATAAATGATAAATGTATCCTGTAATAATGCTGTCTATATATCTATCTTACTAATGAAGATGTACACATGACACAGTGCACATATTGATGACCGATGATAGTAAGGCTTACAGCGGGGTTACAAAAGGTTAGGAGCAGTTTTGTCACACCCCTCTCAGGAGTATCTCTCTTGTATTTCCTCATGTATGTGTTCATATGGGAGATGTGTAATCTGCTGTTTGAGCTGTGTGGCTGATGTTCATCATTTTTAGAAGAGAAAGGTGTGAAGGAGTTGAGCATTGAGAGAGAGACGTGCGCACAAGCTTGTGTGTGAGTCAGAGTACGAGGAGATGTTGAGCACATGCCTCCTGTCTGATCCCCCAGCTGGAGATCATGTGAGCAAAGTGATTTACCATGCTGTCCCACTTCCCCCTCAGTATCTCTCTCTCTCTCTCTCTCTCACACACACACACACACACACACACACACACACACACACACACACTGCTATTTGTGGGAGGTAGGGGAAGATTATTTCAGCTGTCAAACACCAATTGCTGTGATATTTTGTAGCAAATGATAAAAAATGTTATGAGCTGAATAAAGTATTAGAGCTGTAAATGTCTGATTAAGGGTTCTCACTGTTATGCAGATTCAGTTGCAAAAGGATGCAAATAAAAATACAATTAAAAAGACTTGAGGGTAAAAGAGTAAACTGAGATTACTCAGTTTTAACTGAGTAATCTCAGTTGAAACCTTAACTAACCAGTTAAGGTTTTAACTGAGTTTACTTTTTTCACTGTTTTACTCTTTGTCTTTAATTCAAGTATTGAAAAAACACCAGTTTCAACTTTAAATTACCAAACATCGTTCACAGAGCTACTGAAGAGCATTTCTTACTATTTTAAGTTTTGCAACGTTAGTTACAATTTTATAAATGCCATAAATCCAATGTTCATAGATGGTTTACAAACCAATTATTAACTGATTAGCAGATGTTATTATTATATTATCTTTTAACTGATAGTAAACAATAAAAAAACACATGTCATTTTTATTTGTCATTTATAAAACAGTGTATTACTTAGTAAGATTTTGCACTGAAGTATATACAGAGCCGGTGACTCTGTTATGGGTAATTTTGCCCCCTTTTTTAAAGTCTCTTAAAATCAATACAAGTTATTCCTAATTACCGTGTCTATCTCAAGCTGATACATTTCCACTCAAACTCAAGAGAGGGGTCTAGTGGGTAGTCTAGAAGCAGCTCAGCACTTGACTAAGACACTTCATGTTGGTGCAATTTATGATCATTTTGAGTGCTCTAAAAGAGTGGAAAGGCACTATACAATATCCATAGAAAATCACTCTTTGCACCTTGTTTACAACACATTCAGCTCAGGTTGTAAGAAAAGTTTCTTCAGAACAAATATAAAATAAAATAGGCCATATAGCATGATTCATTGATATTGTAGCATTTAGCTGGTCTTTTACAACTGTTGATAAACCATGCATGTTTGGTTTAAAGTCATTTTTATGGATCTTTGTCCCAATGATATTACACAGAAACCACAGTTTTCTCTGATGGCAGTCGTCCAGATGATTTCCATCTCCCGTTTTGCACAGTCCATGTGACTCTTCTGGTTTCCTTTGATCATTTGCCTTAAAAACAAAATCTGTTGCAGCTAGAGCAAAAGATTAGTTACGATGAGTCACGGGATAATTTTTTTTCTGCGTCACAGTGTTACCAAAAAAGGTGGAGTTTTGCTGTTTTCCCCTTCATGGTGACAAATTTATACTTTGTAATTTATACTTTGCAATAACACAAACACAAGTTTGATGCTGATCAGTAACTTATTGTTGCGAGATCCATAAAAGATATCAAACACTTAATACATCAAGTTTAAGTCCTCATAAACTAATTACATGCAGACTGGGGGCTTTTTTCTGTCTTGATTAAAGATATTGAACCTATAATGTATCTTTTGAAAGACATAGTTTTACAATCTTTATCTCTATTAGGGTCCAAACTGCTTTTGTATAGTCTGGACCAAGTTGGAAACTAAACCAAAGCTTTATTTGGAACAGTTGGTAACTTTCACTGGTGGGAATCTGGTGAGGGATTATATCTGAGTTGCTGTATGGTCTATCTGACTTGTCTCCTTCTGTCTGCACCCACGTAAGACTAACAGCCTTAGGTGGCAGCAAGAAAAGCCTGTGTGCAGGGTGAGCTGGAGACTCACAAAAGAAAAGAGGTCTCATTTAAAAAAGGAAGTCAAATAAAAGTAATGGACTTAATTTGATTTGACGTCACGGCATCGGTGGCGAAAGAGTCACTTAGCGACTCTGAAATGTGGTTGTAACAAAGACTGCTGAGCAACAAGCTTCTCTGAAAACATGATGCTGTTGTGGAAACTGAAGGGAAATTTGACAGTCTGTTGGATGTACTCAGGGTATGTGCGGCGTGATGTATTCTGTGAATCTGAAGGGATCCAATTAAGCGCCTTGACTGTTGTTGTGATTTGGTGCTATATAAATAAAATGGAATTGAGTTGAATTCATTAAAACATGGACAGATTGACAGTAAACAACATTTGGTGTTCTTCTACACATCCTGTCTTCCTCCCCTCACCTCAACCTGTCACAGCAGATGGCCCCGCCCCTCCCTGAGCCTGGTTCTGCTGAAAGTTTCTTCCTGTTGAAAGGGAGTTTTTCATTCCTACTGTCACCAATTTTTATTTCAACTTTCATTTTATTTTATTTATACAGCACCGAATCACAACAACAGTCGCCTCAAGGTGCTGTTGTAAGATAGACTCTACAATAATACATACAGAGAAAAACCCAACAATCATATGACCCCTATGAGCAAGCACTTTGGTGACAGTGGGAAGGAGAGGTCTAGTAACACATAGTGAGTGAGAAAGGTGACTGAAGAAGAAACACCCAGTGCATCATGGGAGTCCCTCAGCAGCCTACACCTATTGCAGCATAACTAAGGGAGGATTCAGGGTCACCTGGTCCAGCCCTAACTATATGCTTTAGCAAAAAGGAAAGTTTGAAGCCTAATCTTGAAAGTAGAGATAGTGTCTGTCTCCTGAATCCAAACTGGAAGCTGGTTCCACAGAAGAGGGGCCTGAAAACTGAAGGCTCTGCCTCCCATTCTACTTTTAAATACTCTAGGAACAACAAGTAGGCCTGCAGAGCGAGAGCAAAGTGCTCTAATAGGGTGATATGGTACTACAAGGTCATTAAGATGAGATGGGGCCTGATTATTTAAGACCTTGTATGTGAGGAGCAGGATTTTGAATTCAGTTCTGGATTTCACCAAAGCGCTTGCTCAGTCTGACCGCATTAATGTTCATCATTCTTTCAAAGATGATTTTTTATCTTTGAGCCCCAACATAGCTCTCCTCTTTCTCTAATTTGGCACCACTGAAGACAAGTTCAGCCATCAGGCGTGTCCTTTAGTAAAACCACTTTCACTTTATGAAACGATCTTATGACTTGTCAGCTTTTTATCAGCAGATTTTCCCTCGTCTGTGACGCAGTTCTGTGTTGCCATTTAAAGGGAGTTTTGAGCTTGTGACCACTGTAACCTTTAGATTGGAGTTGACCAGAAGAATAAAGTCTCAGCTCCAATAAAGGCTAAACACAGAGCTGTGTTACTGCGTGGGAAAAATATACATTTTTCTTAATATCGCAGTAATAACTGAGAATATGAACTAATTATGCATAAACTATCATCTAATGACGATTTTAAAGCAAATCTCAAAAGCTGATTTCAAGTTGCATTCCAAACATTTGGCTCAGGGAGTTCACAGGTTGACAGTTACTCGTTTTTCCCTTTATTAATTTCTATTCTCAACTTGTTTTTGTGATGACTGTGACAGTCCCCAGGACACATTTCAGGAAAAAAAGAAAAAGGAAAACAGCCTTACAATCGCTTTTGGATGTAAAAGTTCAGACTTATAAATAATGCATGCCTCTGCAGAGCCATCCTCACATTTCATGACAATGAAAACGCTTCAGGCAGTCCAGAATCTGGGCTGTTTAGTCTGTGACTTCAGGCGAGGAAGTCTCACACCACAGCAGGGCTGAAATTCATGTGAATGTCTAGACCAAGAGTTATTCTCTTTTTCTTTAACACCACATCTCTGTAGTCTGTGGGCTGCCTGATAAATCCGTCCAATAAAGCTGTAAAATATCACAGTTTGATTTATTTAAAATACATGAATTATTTATTCCATTTCTATGAAACTAATAAATACTAAAGCTAACAAATGCCGCTACAATATTTTAGTTTAGTTAGTTTTTTCAAATTAAGAAAATTGTCTCAGTAAGTTTACATTTTTTTCACAAGTGTAGTTGTTGTTTTCATGTCTAAATGTAGTTTTAGTTTAGTTTTAGTTATTTACAATAACACAATAACAATGATATTAACACTAAAAGTCAGGAGCTACTTTACTGCGTCCGTACGCTTTGAATTTGTGAGTGCTGGTGGCGGAGTGATACGGGTGCTGTTGAGGTTCAAAAGAAAGGTGAATATCAGACACTGTTGATGTGTTTCATACACGAGCTGCGGTTTACCGTTCAGTGTTTCCAGATTATTCCATGAACCTCTAATGCTCTCTTGGAAGGTGATAGAATGAGAAGACAATAATAATTACCCACGAAGACGTCTGCCGGGCCATTTGGAGTTGAGTCATTATAAATGGTGTTGCACTGAAACTTTTTAAATGGATCTTCACAGTGACCTTCCTTCACACTGAAGGAAATCTGAGATTCTTCTTATACAAGGATGTACTGGAAAAGTAGGGCACATCAGTGGTCCCAGGAGTTTTTTCCACCGGACACCCTTTTGAAAGTGTACCTGAAACAAAGCGGGTAGTTTTGTGGAAAACTCCAGCATACTGTGCTATAGCTGCTCTGTTTTATTCTTTTTTTCTACTGATCACAGTAAACCTTTATTACATTGAGCGCTCTGTACTAAACACCCAGAGTCCAGTTATTTGCGCAAAATGTTGAATTAAACTATATTAGAATATCTTTCTGTATCTTCAAGATTTCATCTTAACACTTCTTCTCTGTGGGACTCAGAGACACATGATTGCCTTTAGGCTTTTTTTCAGTAGACTAAACTAATTACTCAGGGTTAAAGAGAGTTGAATGCCTTTTTAAGTGTATTAATAACTCAGATTGCCACCTACTTTACCTTTGATCACAAAGTGTTTCATTAAATGAACCTTGCAAACCAGAGACAAAAAAGAGAGAGTTGTCCTTGTAACAGAGTTTATGTGTCTGACTGCAGGTCTCCTGGAGAGCAGCATGCGCCTGAAGCCCCATGAAGCACAGAACTACAGGAAGAAGGCGCTCTGGGTGTCTTGGCTCTCCATCGTCGTCACTCTTATTCTGGCTGTGGCAGCTTTCAGTGAGACTTTGCTATTTTTTGCCATATTTAGCAACTATAGAGCTGTTTAGTTCTCACTTTACTGTCAAAACTCACATTAAAGTAAAAAAAAAAAAAAAACCCTCTCATAAGGAGTTGGAAAAGACTCAGGATTGAAATACTTAGTTGTATAATGTTAAAACGTTTTTTTTCTGGTTTAATTCATGACAAAGATCCCATTTAGCACTTTGGATTTAACCAAACCATACACAAAGGAGAAACGATGTGACTAACATACCAAGCCATAAAAAATGTGCTGATGAATGAACAGTGATTCCGTAGTTAAAGCGCTTAAACGCTAAATTCATAGCATTTCTAAAAGCTTTCCCAGTTATAAAAGTGAAGCAAATTGAAGCCCAGCACATTTCATCTGCTACTGTTTTGAAATGGACATGAACAGATCACACATGTCTGGAGTGTATGACCACAAAGAGCGCGTCTGATACCTGTGCTGACATGATAAAGTGATTGAATCTCAGAAATTGATTTTAAACGCTACATTTTGCTGTTTGTTGCTGGTGTTTTGTAGCAGTTTGTCCTTTTTTTAATTCAGAAATTCTGGTTTGATGCTGCGTGTTTGGTTCAACAAAGACTGATATTAATTCACCAGATGTGTTCTGTCAGCTGTTGTGTTGGAGAAATTCATAGCTATTGTATATAACACCAGAGTCCAAGTGACGGAGCACTGAACACATTACTGCTCCAAAGAAAACATCAGGAGTTGCTGTGAAACTGCTTGAATTTTTAGCTACAGGCTTTGATCACCGTACAAACATTTGAGTTGTTGTTTTCTGTTGTTGTCTTTTTTATGCTTCATGATTCATAAGTCAGTGTTAAATGTGTTTAACAGACAAACAAACAAACCATTTGTCTGAAATGAAAATGAGATGTTCACTCATGGAGCCAATGTCCATAGACAGTCTGGCTGTTTTGAAGCAAAATACAAAGAAATGAGGGTTGCTTGAGACTTTTTGCACAGTGCTGTAATTTCACTATAAACCTTTTTGTTTACAAAAACTGAAGTGAGGATTCGGCATAAATAGACTATTATTCTGCAAGCTCGATGTAAACAGTTTCTTCATCATAGCTAGACTGCAGAGGTTACGTCTGTTTCTGCTGCACTTGTAGTAATTTCATAATCTCTGAATTACACGGCTTAAAACTAATTTGTCAGCATCAAATCATGTAATAAAGTCTGACAGAAGTTTACTTTTTCAAAATTCAGGTTTATCCTCGAAGCCTTTGTAAGCGATATAATGTCTAACATGGAAGTAAATATAGTCTGAGAGCTGTAATAACTATTCCACTGTCTTCATGCCTCTTTAACTACTTATTTAACTCACACTCAGCAGTTAAAACTCACTTCATCTGATTTGAACAAAAAGGCTTTTGCTTTTGGAAGTTCTTCACATTGCGTGCAACAGTTTCAACACAGTTTCTTGTCTTATGACTTACAGGATGTGTGAGGGCGCAGTCTGCAGTGACAAAGGGGTTGTTGCTTCTTCATTCTGCTAAGATTCAAGTTGTGATGTGTCCCAACCTTTTCAAGCCTTTTGTCTTTTCAAGTAAATACTGATGAAGCACAAGCTCATTTTCCAAGCAGGAGCTACATGTGTAGATGGGGTTTGCAGTAGAGAGGAGAATTAGCACCTCCACTTTGGTGGAGGCTGGCTTGTCCACTCCAGTTTGGAGTGAGCTGGTGTCTCAAGTGAATAAGCAGCAGTGTTTTGCATTCTTGCTCATGAGTGTTGGACGAACGAAGTGGGCAACAGTTGGGCCAGGGCAGGGTCTGCAGTGATTAGCTAAAACAGTGAAGCCCAAAGACAAAGCTGTTGATTTACTGGTAAAAATGTGCTTCGGTCCTTAGCTATGGATAATGATCCATTTAGCAAACAAAGTCTCCTCTAAAGAGTTTTTGGGCTCTCTTTAAAGATAATGTGAGATAACATGGAGGAGACCTGAAGACACACTCACAAGACACTGGACAGAATATTCGTGTTATGGCCAGCAGGTATCATCCCCAAAGAGGTGAAGAAGGTGGCAGGGGAGGAGGACGGTGTGGTGTGCCTTTCATGCAACATCCAGTAGTACGGGTTATTTTTGCTCTCGTTTGTGCTGTTGTTGGTCATTTAGCATAGCTCCTCAAAACATGCTGAATAGATTATTCCACACAGATTGTCCTAAAATCGCTACCTATATTTAAAAGGATATTATAATACAGATATCAACTCGTAATTAAAACACAGTTTTAATTAGCTGATGAAATCTGGATACGAGTAGCACTTCTTCTTCAGACCCACAGTAATAAGCATTCAGTGCATTTAAAAAAAAAATACAACCTCTATGTGTAAAAATAAACCAAGATGAGAAAAAAATAAATATTATATTGTCAATGCTGGCATGAATTAATACAGCTCACAGAGTGAAGCTAGTGCAGGGATGAATGAGGAGAAAGAGGCGAAATGTAGAATGGTGTGTGTGTGTGTGTGTGTGTGTGTGTGTGTGTGTGTGTTTTGTTTGACTCTCAGCACAGAGAACAGAGACTTCAGCAGAAGAACAGGATGACCCACTAAAAAATGAACTTCTAAACTGGGAGAGTGAGAAAAACAAGAACAAGAGAGCAGAAGGTACCCAGATGTGTAGATGCGCTTACCTCCACGTCTCCTAAACGCAGCCCTGAGAAGACAAGTCAGGGGAACTTGGTCAGAAAATTAAAGTATGAATGCACTGCTCTCCACCTCCTCTCCTGCCACCTGCAGTAGAGGGAAGAGAGGCAGATGGCTATGGACGAATGAATGAAGCTCTGGAAGGTACGATGGCGCCAGGGGACGAGGCAGGACTGGGCGTGATGAGTCCTGGCAGGCGGCGTTGGGGATTTAGTGGTTGCGATGGCTCAACTTTAAAGAATACCAGCGCGTTGTTTCCTCCTGCTTGTGCCCTAGTTTCTCCCTCTTTCAGGCCCACCATCTTCCATTTTTTATGTTTTACATCTTGTCAACGTATTTCTTTACACTCTGCTTTGTTTACTTCATCTTCATGGGTTTTCTCAGCATATATCTCCCTCCTTACTCATTTTTCCCTCTCTGTGATTTGCTGGCAAAGGCAAAAGATAGTTTGATTCTGTCACAAGCAAAATATCTACTGTCATATAGCTTTTATGAGTTTTCCTGAAGTGGACATGTTTAAACAAAACTCCGTTTTTGGATCCTGTTTTTGCCAGCCTTTTAGCTTTTGCCCTTCTAGTTTTCCTTTTCCTCTTCTTCTCTGTCTTCAGCTCTCTCTGTGGAAATCTGCAATAATCCTCTATCCTTCCGTGACCTTTAGCAGCACTTTAACATTTAGAAATGAGAAGGGTTCACTGCAAGCCTCTTCTGCTTTACTTTCAATTGTATTGACTCTCGAATGTCTCGGTCATGATTGGCTGCTCTGGGTGAGCTTGCAACCTCTCTTGAGAAGCTGCCTTTTGTGGTTAGGTATTCACCTGTGAAAGTGGTACAAGTCTTTGAGGCTTTATCAGACATATCAGACTGAGAGAGAAAGCACAGACCACACCAGAAGAGAAAGGAGCAGGAACATCTCTGTGCTTTAAGCTGTCCAGCAGAGTGTGAGCAGGTAATTATATGAACTCGGTGACTGAAAAACACAGGAAACTAGAAGATGACGACAACATTTCCTTTATATCTTGGTAATCACACTGATAGATGGACAAGTACTTTGATATTCATATACAGGATGATGAAATCAATGAAAATTTATTTTTAAAATAAAATAAATAGATAAAATAGATAAGTATTGAAAAAATAAAGTTTTCACAGTAGTTTGTCATTCTCCAACTTTCATTTTTTTCACTCTACACAAATATACATGACTAATATGTAAAAATATGAGTCTTTAAATAATATTAGATGCAGTTTAGTACAGTATTCATATGATGCACAGAGCATCAAATCAATTCTACTCCAGTCTTAATTTTGTTGTATTCATTGAAAATGGATGCACAATGTATGAAAACATACTGTTTAGTTTTTAGTTTTGTGGACTGAGAATTATGTTGATGTGTTGTTATGACTGGAGACAAGAACTGCAGGCTTACATGTAAAAGTCAGGTGTTTTTGCATCATGCGTGACTGTAACACACACCTTTCCTTCAAGTAGAAAACTGATTTTTCTGTGTTGCCATCAACCAGCATATAATAAACATATAAAGCCTTCTAGTGTTTTTGATTAAAGATTCTCGTGTGAATTGTTAGTATTAGAGGATTTCTGCCATATGGTACATTTTATGGTGCTTGCCAGGCAGTCCACTGAGAAGCTGTTCCACGCTCAGAGTAGGGACTGAGTGCACACCAACAGGAATGATTTTCAGAGTGCCTCTAGGACATTTAGGAGCAGGCTATAGGCCTCCACACTAATAGGCAGCCACGAGATCAATCAGGCCTGTTGCCAACAGCCATTTAAATTTTGAGCAAGCAGAAGATTGTGGTAGAAATGAGTAAAAGAGGGTTAAAGCAGGAGGATGGCCAAGGGGAATAAAGCTGAGATTGAGAAGACGCCAAAGCAAGATTTAGAAAGACGGAAGAAGAAAGAAGGAAATGTGGTGGTGCGGTAGTGACAGGATGTGAAGTAGAGGACATAAAAGAGGAAGAATGTTACTAAAATACTGTGAAATTATAAATATAGCAGAGTAAGAGTAAGACAGCAGGAAACAGAAATAAATAGATTTGTCTTCAGCAGCTTCTCCTTCAGTCTTCTGTCTTCCTCTGTGCTTCTTGTTTACTTTTCCTTCTTTCTCTTCATGCAGTCGGGGCGTAATTACTGTGATTTAACCCAGATACATAAAGCAAAAGCCCAACATAGTTATAAATAATCCAGCACTTTATGGATATCTATGTGTGCCACGACTCCGTGGCTGGAGACAGAAGTAGCTGAAGCCCAGCATGCAGAAAAAAAACGTAGCTCTGTAACACAACCTCTACACCAAC